GCATCGCTGACGTCATCCGTTATACGTAACACAGTATCACGTTTTCACATAGTTGCCCCAAACCAGCAACTGCCCCAGGTTATCAAGTAACATGAGGAAGGAGTTATGCGTCGTGTACAACAACTATCCCTCCATAAAGCTGCCAGCGAGAATATCTGCAAGGGTATAATTACCTACCTCTGGCATAGATTTGCAATCAGCCACACAGTTGAACTATGTTTGCCCGTGCACCGCCATTATTTCCAGACAAGCTGAACGGATAACAATGGCGGTCTCGTGAAAAGAGCATTCCAACAATGGACATAAAGGGCAGATTTTTAGGCACTCCCGCATAATTCGCCTAATTCATGGAATTTAATGGAAAGCGGTAGAGGCTTGCGGGTTAGTGGACGTGAACGTAGTTTACTATAGGAGGGGTGAAGTGTCAAAAAAAATAGTGAAGAAAGTGCAATTCAAAAGATTAGTGACCTGACTATTGACATATTAGCTAATAATAATAAGTTTATTTCCAATAGGCAGAGGAAATATTAAAAAAATCAATAAAGCACAGCCGAACAAATATACAGGGTGTCCCTTAATGATGTACGAATATTTAAGGGTGTGAATCTACATAAAAAATTAATGTTAGCTTGCTTTATAAACTATGGTCCAAAAATGTTTCCTTACAAAAACTCGGGGTGTTGAAGTTTTAGGATAAAAATGGAAATTAATCAATATTTTCAGAACCGCTTCAGATATTTCACTGATATTTAGCACGTAGTGGCAGCTAATAAAGTTGCATATTTTTCAATGCGAGAATAATTTTTAGCTTTAACAGTGGCGTGCGTGCGGGTACTGACTTCGATATTTTTTAAGAAAAAAATGGTACGCCAATAGTTTTTTGCCAAATAAAAATTATTTTTAAATCCCCCATTTAATTTAAAACAAATTATCTCTCTTGAACTGTTTTCCTTCAATGCGCCATTTTTAAGTAAAAAAATAAAAACCGTTCTATTGTCTAACTGTATCCATCGAAGAAACAAAGTAAAATCAAACATATACACCCGTATTGCACGTGATCAAGAACTTAACCGTAGGAGACGCTACAGGGCCGTATCAAGCTATTGTGACTGATCTATCAAAAAATGTCGTACAAGATATGTGTTGCTGTAAATTCTATCAAAAGCATAGTAAATTATCAGGAATATACCACGCCTTTCTAATCATATTTCGACACTAGGAATCAGTGCAAAAAATTCTGTATTCACCATTTCAGCAAAATGTTACTAAAACGCACAAGAAAAAAACTTGTGGACCATCTCAAATGAAATTGTTCATATTTTATTATTAACTTACATATATACCCAATAATATTTACAAATCAACCTTCTATTCACAATGCAGAGCAAATTTTTTTGAGCAAATAGAAACTACAGACGTAGTAGTAGTAGTACAAAAGTTTATTACAGACTCCATAAAGTTTGTTAGTTTGATTGCTATTAAAATTTACATGAGAAATAGGAAGAAGGTCAAAATGGCACTATTATGCTTTGGAACTCCTAAATTAACCCTAATTTTGTGTAATTATAAATTTGGAATTTCCACATTAATAACTAGAAACTTACACTTTGATTGCAGTCTATAATGAACTTACCTGTCTTGCCAAAAAGCCCGTTAAGCTGCCAGTCTTAATGGTATCAATCGATTTATATGCTGTATTCCGAGGAGCTTGAATCATCAGAATTGTTGATGTCAATTATAAGGGGTTCAACTTGGGTGTCAATGATATTGTCCATATCCCACATTTTGGTTTCAACCTTCTCTTGGACATGGTCAATACATGTTCTCCATTTTGCTGGCGTAATTCTATCGACAGCAACATCAAACAGTTTTTTAAGGTCAGAAAACTTAAAAGTGCTGTTATTTGACGCCACGTATTGCTTGATGTCGGCCCAAATCAACTCGATAGGATTCAGTTCGCAGTGATAGGGAGGCAGCCTGAGGATCGTTTTATTTTGGTTTTTGGCCATTTCGTCAACAATTTTTAAATCATATTTATACTTATGTCGCTTGACTATATTTATCAGCTCAGCTTTGACCATTGTTTGGTCGAAGTCGATCTTCTTTGAGACAAGCCACTGTTGAATGTCTGCCTTTTTGGTGGCCATTGTTGGAATTTTTTCCAATTTTCTGGAGTGGTACGGGGCATTATCCATCACAATAATTGCGTTATCATCAAGTGTCGGCAAAATTTTTTTGAACCAATTTTCAAATGAGTTACCATCCATTTCTTCGTGATAGTCTCCAGTTTTTTTGGATTCAAATGCCCACAATGCTTCAGGAACAAATCCATCTACGCTACCTATGTGGCAAATGATCAGGCGTTTTCTCTTGCCTGAAAGTAATTAGTTATTTTACTTCTCAGCGAGCGCACTAAATGACGAAATTAAGCAACTTACTCTTTTTAGGTTAGTGTAGGATAGGGTCTTAAATTAGTTTTTGGGTGAAGGAAATACTCAGAAACTTGGATGAGATAGCAAAACTGAGTTCGGAGCTTCCAAATCATTGATTCGATCAGAAAATGAATGATCTGCATCCAAAAAAGTTCATATACTTCGAAACTTACCTGCAGGATTTTTCAATCTCGTCGAAAGGCCATCTAAAGAAGCCTGCCTTGAGGACCTCACAGATCTGTCTACCCAAACCTTTCCCTGCGTATGCCCCGCGTTCACCCATGTTTCGTCTAAATAATAAATTTTTCTTCCTTCAGCGCGGAATTGCCTAATTTTTCTAAGGTATTCTCTTCTCCAGATAACAATTTCCTCCTTTTCTATCAATAAACTATTCCTTCCTCTTTTCAAAAATCGAAAGTCTAGTTCTTTCAACAGCTTATGGAACGTAGATCTTTTAAAATTTGGCAGGTCCTCATCATCATTCACTTGCTTCAATATTTTATCTATTGTAGGTATTTCATTCCTGAAGAAAAAGTGATGTACTTTTCTTCTAATGGCACTTTTGTCAAAGTCATCTATTTTTTCGATGATTTTTTTTCTCGCTGGATATGTTTTTGGCTCAGATAGTGAGTGATTTTGTCTATATTCCTTCAAGATTTTGTAAACACTTGATCGACCTACTCCAGAAATTTCAGCAACCTTACATACGATATTTTCTATAGCCAATCCACTATTCTCTTGCATCTGGTTCTTGTAGATATTTAGAATAATTTGTTTTTCACCTGCGCTAAGATGAAGCTTTTTAGCCCTTTTTCTGGGTGGCGTTAAGCTGATTTCAACCACTTCATCAGCTGTATCTGTGTCAGACATTTTAGACTAATATTAAATTTCCGCAAGAAAAATCAAGTCAAGACGTGCATAAAACGTTCGCGCTCAGAAACGGGTATCCGTAACTGATTACAATCCTGTGCGTGGTGACGAACCATCAACGTGGCGCTGAGAGTTCCCTCTACTATGCAGCGTTGTCAGGCTTAATGTCACAATGATCATGTTTTATTGGGAAAATTGTCAGAAATAACCTTGAAATGTGAGCCTACAAATCGATATTCTTATAGGGGGGAAGGGTAGGGAGCTGTTATAATAATAATAATAATAATAATAATAGCCTTTATTTAACCTGGCGGGTGTCAGCTAAAAGCTGTTTTTCATACCAACCAGGTTCCTATTAACCTTGGTGAAAGTTGGAAACGGTAATATCATATATGGCATACATTCGGTTGAAGGTGTGTGCACGGAAAATAGATTGCGGATAGGATTTTAATAGATAAATCTGCACAAAAAACACAAAAGGAGATTTTTGTATTTCCCTGAAGAATATCTCAAGGTTATTTCAGATGTACTCATCGAAACTTTATGGAAGGATTATCGAAACCTTATTTTCAATTGCGATAGGGCCACATACCTCGACATCGCATTAATGTGAAAAATAAGACAATAGAAAAAAATTCCCTCACTGATGCTACCTCTTAGGAAAAATTTAACTATAAAGATTGCACAAAAATTTTCTTCACCTTTTTGAGCTTGTTTTCGCATCTCCGTATATGCCGTTCATAATTTGCTGCAGATCAAATTGGAATATACCTTTGTGATGCCATTTATTGTTATATAATGTCCTTTACAACAGTTATTGCACGTATTGCACCAACAGATTGATTTGTGATCCATGCGAATGTGATCAACCACTCTGGCAAAAACTCGCCGAGCGTGGCAACCGTGCGACTTTGTCTGGAGGCTCGTCGCTACAAGCCAATCAGGAAGAGGCCGACAGAGCGCCATGGCTACCGATCACGCGTTGATCACGAATCAACCACTGTTTACGATTACTTTGTAGCTTCGTTAGATAGACAGTAACTTGCAAAATTATTATTAAATTAATTCGAAAAATTAAACACATTTGGGGTAATGAACAACAACAACTGACAACATAAACATAACATTAAAACCAACGAAATTGTTACAAAAATTGTTGAAAATGGCTCCCTTCAATTAGTATGCATGCTTCCGTCCTCCTTCCCATGGAATTGCGCACTCGTTGAAATATCCCTGGAGTGTTTTTTATTCTATCACAAGCTGCAACTATTCTTTCTCTTAAATCATCTACAGTGTTAATGGAACTTGTGTACACTAGTGTCTTGAGATCGCCCCACAAAGAGAAATTTAAATTGTTGAAGTCTGGCGGCCATTCTTGGGGCTTACCGTGGTCAATCCAACGATTTGGATAAACAGTTTGTAAATAATTACGAACCGCTACACTGAAATGCGCTTCTTTTATATCAATTTACATGGAGGCTGAAACAACAAATTGTGCCACTACAGTAATTTCGTTGATATACTTGAAGCGATTGTTGCAGTTCCTTCAAGTTAGAGACTATTTCTACATGATATTTACTGTCATGAGGCTCTAATGGACTTTGAGATCTCTTTTCTGAAACAACAGGAAACTGCCTGGTATTCCCATCGATTAAGTGTTGTTACCAAAACTCAAGGTTTTTGATAAACGCTTTTATATCAGAAATCATTTCTGCTAGTCCTCTGTCTCTTCCCTGAAGCTGCAAATTAAATTCATTTAATTTTTCTGTAATATTCACAAGGAAACCAAAATCCCTAAGCTAGATTGAATTTTCTAGTTCCGGAGTCGGTTCATTACGTCGTTTGAAAGATTGAACAATGGCAAATATGATACCATTAATGCGCTTCAGCAATCGTCCCCTACTTTACCATCGGACTTCAGAGTGAAAAAGTAGTTCCCTGTATTGACAGTCAATTTCATCGGCCACGGTTTTGAATTATTTTCTTTGTAACGCTTGAGCTCTAATCTTGTTCACAATTTGTACCACCAATTTCATAACCTTATTTAACTTTAGAAGATGTCCACATGATGCTTGTTGAAGGATAATTCAGTGATAACAGAGAAATTGCGAAAAACTTTCATCTTTACGGCATAACCCCACGAGACCCTTCTCACGACCCACCATAGTTGGAGCGCCATCGGTAGTCAAGCCTACAATTTTCAATATTGGAATTTTCTCAGCAGAAATAATATTTTTAAAAGAAGAAAACAAGTCCAGCCCTTTTAGAGGAATAAACTTCAAAAGATCTTTAATCGCAAAATTACTAAATCCAGCTGCAGTGAAACATAAGCACAGTTGTCGAAGTCATTTCTTAACTGTAAAACTATATCATTGCTCATTACTTCACTGTATTGGCAGAAAGTTGCATAGATTTTATATCAGACACTATCTCGTCCTCATTCCTAGAGGTGGCACATAATGAATCTGCAGCTTCTAAAAACGCCTGTTTCATCATTTCCCCTTCTTCATCAGGTTTCTTCTTTTGTGTAATTATCTGGGACACCCAGTATGATGCTTCAGTTGTAGCCTTACTCTTGTCGATTGTTTTTAAAAACATTGTCCGTTATCCAATTAACTGATTTTTAAATTGTTCCAGTTTTTCGGTTCTGGTTGCAGTACAAGCATACATTTTTAGCTTTAACTTCTGTAAAGAGATATCGTTTTTCCCATTCCGAATGATGTCTTCATCTTCTTACTACTGCTGATAATGTTTTTAATTGCAGGCACACTCTAATCCAACCGCTGGACCTTGTGCCGTAAGTAATCGAGATCGTTCTCGAACGGATCGCTCACCGCAGTGTCGCCGCTGCTTGTGTTTATTACGAGAATTTACAAAATTTAAGGAAGCTCCTATGATTTTTACACCTTTTTAAAACATATGGTGGGCCACCAAAATTGCCTCTGCGAACTACCGGTAGCTCGCGATCGACGGGCCCCCGCAGCTTCAGTGATGATGTGATTATTCTTTCTGATCTGCCTTAGTATGTCAAGAATACATTTTCGATATTACGTTCAATCTGTCACTTGTGAAGTCTAATATTCCATTCAAAATTGGAATATGTGGCAACATTGCCAACTAACCTCACATTCTGAGCCTCATCTTTCTATGCTATTTAAACTGAACATTATTGATGTTTCAAACTTATATTTGTGTATTGCGATTGTTTAGCTAAGTTTTCAAAATGCCTTACAAGTGCTCCGTTCCTAACTGTGTCGATAATTACGGGAAGGGCCCGAAGGTATTTTCGTATCCAGTGAACGAAAACTGTCGTAAAAGATGGCTCAGTGCAATCCCTCGTAGTGATTTAGTGGTTACAAAATACACCCGAGTATGTAATTTGCACTTTGCTGAGGACAGCATCATTTGGGAACCCACCTTCCATGACGAAAAGGCAGATAGGACCATTACTGTACTCCTTAAGTATCCAAAATTAAAGGCAGATGTAATTCCAAGTATCTTTGCAAATTGTCCAAAATACCTTTCAAACGACATATCAAGCAGAAGAAGCCGAGATGAGAAATTGAGGGACAAGGAACGAGAACAGCTACTTAAAGCACTGCAAACTAGCATTGAGAAGGCAAAAATCAACTTGTTTCCAAAATTATTCAGACTTGCTCACAGTTTTCAGTTCAAGGCAATGTCCATATGGGTGGCATAAAATTGTTCAGGATAAAGATACTTTGTTTAAGTTAAAATATAAACCAGCACCCATCATAACTCACTCTGTAATAAAGATCACAATGTAAAAACGTATATGTACTCCCAAGAATTGTTACGCAACTCAGGTAATATTGAAACTTAATTTGTATTATCTAATATACACCACTTGGATGATGTTCTGCATGTTCTTTCTGACAATGCATCGTCAGTTATATGAATCTGAGAAAAAGTTACGAACTCAAAGCTTGATGTCATTGAAGTCTCGTTATGGTGATATACAAATAGATCAATTCTGTGAAAATGATGATTTAGAAATAGAAATTTTAGTCTGATATTGATAGTATAAAGGATGAAATCCCTGTCATCACCTACTTAGCTGGTTACTGTTGTTATGCCTTATTAAAAAAAAATCACTGCGATTATTGTAAGGAAAATTTGACACACTCAGATGATATTGATATAGAAGACAAGCACAATATTATACAGAATTTGAGTAGAGGTGGCTTAAAACTCCCAAAGGATCCAGTTATTAATATTGTCATGCTAAGTTATATAGTTTTCAATAAAGTTTTGGAAAGTGACGAGGAATCATTTTTAGAAATCACTGATAAGAGACGCGCTCTTTCTCAGTTGATAATTAACAATGTGAGTGATAATAATCACGACACTTCATTTTCGCGTTGCACAGTCCATTCACCAGATTATGTTATAAAATTAATTGTTATTTGCACAGTCAATACATTTTTGAGAAATTATTGTGCCAAAAGGAACGACATCTTTGCAAGCGCGAATAAAGCAAAGAAACGTGAATTGACTACATTCACATCAGGCCGCAACATTTACATAGCTGTAGATAAATGTTTATTTGTAAATATGCAGAATTTAGCACTTTAATTTTCGTTATTCTAATTTTTGTTATTTTTGATACTTGTTTTCTGTTTTCTAATTTTTGTTATTACTTGGGCTGTTATTTGTTTGTTCTAAGAGTTTTTATTAAGTTTTCGTTAATCTTTGTTATGTTTTTTCTGTTGTTTATTTTACTTTGATTTTATCTGTTTTTCTTATCATTTATCCTACACTTATTCATCCTCATCTTCCTTATTCCTTTCCTGGCAAGAGCTTACCTCAGACCTCCTCGTTGGTTCTTGCTGGACACAACTGTTCTACAAGCACTACATTTTTTATATAATTTTCAAGTACCATTATATTATACCTATAATAATAGAAAATTGTTCACATATTCCTGTGAAATTTTGTTGATCGGTTGTGACTAACATGGGGTTATTCGTTGAAGAATGTATCATTTTTAGCAAGCTTTTATAACATCAACTTATTAATCTAATGTGCACGTAATGTTGGATGAAAGATCAGTAAAAATCAGGGTGAAAATAGTTAATAACTACTTTAATATTTTCCACCAAGTTGCCTTCATACACCAAAAACACTTTTCTGAATGATCTGTTATTTAGATCAGGTAGAGTATATTATATACAGTCAGTAATTTTCGATGTGCATACAGTAAGATGAGTCCACGCTTTCAACGCAAACTGGTAATCTACGATTTCCTTGATAAATCTGATTTTAACCATGATAATGGTTGCATTCGTAAAATCACAACAACGACGACGTATCACTAGCACAGTTTTGATCGACATGCGATATCTACGTGTACATTTTGTAGGTATTAAAACGTTCAAAATTGTATGATGTATTCTGGTGAATTGACAATCTATCAACTCAAAACCCACCTTTAAAGTCAAATTACTCTTGTTACCGGTGAACTTCGAATTCAATCAACTATCCATTAGTAATGAGGTTTAAATAAAATATCGCTGTTTCCCGGAAAAAGTAACTCAGGTATAGCTTTCCACCGTAAATGGCGAATCGTTTGTCATTATCAAGGTGGAAATAAAAGAAACAAGCCACTCGCAGTAATTGCTTGCCCTGACTTAAAAACAAGTAGTTTGCGTTCCTATGAATAATTTCCAGTTTAATAAATGCCTACGTCCAAACGCGAAATGGAAAGGAACCGGAAGAATTGCATTACGGCCTCCACCAACAGGGCAGGATCACAAAGAACTCCATATGCATATCTTTTTAAAAAACAAGTTAAGATGTAGGAAAATGAATTTTGAACGCTAAAAAGTTTTTACCACTTTAGAACGTGAGCTGGAAAATAAAAATTGTGGAAAACCAACTTTTAGATTTGCAAAACTTACGAGTCCTCTACACCCAAACATTATTAGACATTCTAAGAGCATACAATAACATTTTTTTTGCTGTCGTCATTATACCGATTTTAAAAACATACAATGTTTTACCTCCGTTATTTTGGTAGTCTTAATCAATATTTTACCAAAGTTGGAGCAGTACTTTCCAACTTGTGCGAAGATTACCGGACATACGACACATACTAGACCGACTGAAAAGTCCATATTTTTAATGGCATTAATTTTTTGTTTAACTCAACCGAGAGGAACGATTTAATTATTATACAGAGTGTCCGCAAAGTTTGGGTTTTCCTTTACACGACGTGTAGATCTTGAAAACATAAGCAATTTTTCTTAGTACCATATACACCAATGTCTTAAGGGAACCGAGATGAAGGGCTCTGCAACATCAAAAATATCTGAATACCGTCCTGTAGCCGCGACATCACCGACTGGTACAAGGTCACTGGCTCAACCCGACGACAACTGGGTCGGGGTCAGTGTGTCAGGTCAGTATGCAACCTTCAACCGACGGTTACGGTCACGCGTGTAGAGGTAATCGCGTAGACGAGAATCCCTCAACAAGCACTAGAGACGTGGCTAGAGAAGTGCAAGTATCAAAAACTAAAGTGTGGCAAACGCTGCGTGAAGAGGGGCTGTATCCGTTTCACGTCCAACGTGTACAAGCCCTTCAACCTAACGATTTTCCAGCAAGAGTGCGGTTTTGTGAGTGGTTGTTGCATCAACATGACAATAATCCGGACTTTTTGAAGTGCATATTGGTGACACGAATCTACGTTCCCGCGTAATGGGGTGAATAACTTTCG